TGCCCCAGGGCAGAGCCGTCCCATCTCCACAGGGCTCTCTAGGCGGGGTCTCGGGGCCGTGTGCCCAGGGAAGAAGCGTTCACACCCCCCTGCCATGGGCTCCCAGACAAGCCTGGTTTGCTCCCTGGCATCCTCCCCTGCCCGTGGAGCATACCTTCAGAGGGAAGGTCTGAATGGCCTCTTTGGTCACGTCATAGGTGAACATCACCAGCAGCACTTCCTCCTCTCCATCCGTGTCTAGTCCCTTGGGGCGAAAGCACAAGCAGAGCAGTTCAGACTCAGCCCCCCAAAGAGGGAACAAGGGCGCTGGCTCAGCCCGGTCAGGTACCCGGCCTCTCCCGGGCTCCAGCATCACTCTGACACTGCCCGGGGTGGAGCTTGATCTCCTCGGGGTCAAGTACCTGGAGGTGCTTTGGCCAGAATATCTCCTGAGAGGGATGAAACCTCTGGAGCCCTTGAAGCATCCCCCCAGGGCAGCACGGTGCTCAGCAGAGAACAGGATACAAATCCAGGGAATGCACAAAAGGCCGCAGGAAAGTCCCTGTCACGGCTTTCCCCAGGACCAGACCCCTACCAGACCCACCCGGCAGACACTTACGAAGACAGAGACATCTCTGGGGGCGCTGGTGACGGTTCCAAACAGAGAGGCCTTGTACTGCATGGTGACAGCAGTCAGATGGACTCGTGCTGGCAGCCTGATGACCACCTGGCCCCGGTGCCCTTGCAGAGGCCAGCAGTTCCTTAGCAACACATCCGGCTGCAGGCAGAACGAGAGAGCAGTGAGGGCTGAGAGTGCGCTGGGGACAACACAGCTCGTGCCGCTCGGAGCACAGGTCCAGCGTGTCTGTGGGGCAGCTGCTCGGAAATGAGGCGCCTGTGAGGAAGGGACAGAAGCAGGAGGCCGTCTTCCCTGCCTGACAGAGGGGGCTCTGGGTCTTACGGAAAAGAGGAGAACACTGGTTATGAAACCACCCTAGTCAGGGCCTTACAGAAACACCTCTCTGCCCAGTGGCGCTGCAGGGCAACTCCACCTCCCACCCCCCACCCCTGAAAAGGCACCGTTAGGTACAAGTGTGGAAAGGGGGTCAGCATGGAGAAAGTCGTGCACTCAGCTGGGACAGAGGCCTGTGGGCAATGGGCAGCAGTTCCGCTCAGTTCAGCCCTGTTCCCTCCTGAGGGGAACTGCTGATCTCCAGCGGGCCCAGCCCTGTGTCCGAGCTTTGGTTTCAGGAACCTGATCAGCACTGCGGGCTGGAGCAGCACTGCCCTGGACTGAGGGGAGAGCCCCGAGGTCGGTCCCAGCTTCACAGGAAGGAAGGAAACCAGCACTGATGAGTTCTGCTACAGTACCTCCAAAATAGCATGGAGAGGTTTGGCCAGAAAGAACCACTCCTGAACCCTGCAGCACCCATCCTCTCTGCAGCTGTAGGTCTCTGAAGTTCTCTGCGTGTCGATGGCAGCACCTGTAAGGGAGGGAGAGCAGGTGACTGCAAGAGGCCTCAGACCAGGAGCACTTGGTGCTCAGACACTATTTCTGGTGCCGCCGAGCAGCTCCATGTCTATCAGTGCTGTTCTCACCCCCAGGCCGTGGGGGTGCCCGGCTGCGTGGGGCAGGGACGGCATCCCTGTGCCTGGTGACTGCTGCTGCCACGGCGCCACGAGGAGAAGGTCTGAGGGTGCTGGGAGGCAGCAGGCGCTGGGAGAATGACAGCGGAGCAAAGCTGAGGGCTCGCTGCATGACCAGCAAAGGGTGACCCAGCTGTTCCCTTTGCGGATGCAGCCGGAGGAAGAGCCCCTCCATCAGCACATCAACGTGTGCGTGGGCAGCGCCAGAGGCACCCGCGCAGGGGCCAAGGGCAGGACTGGGAGGGAGCCCGAGAGAGCCGCTCGGCCACAGCCTGGCTCGGGGACCCCAGGGAGCATTTCAGCTGCCCCACTCTGGAGAGCACGGCCTCCTCTGGGGAGTGCTACAGGCAAGCGCAGGGCAAGGAGGTGGGGCTGCTTGTGTCCGTACCAGAGCTTTTCAGGGCCCAGTCAAACATTGTGTCACAGACTTCCGAAGGCACTGCCTGCTTGCTGTCCTGAACTTCCTGGTAAAGCTGTGAATGAACACAGAAAGGGACCATGTCAGCGGGCAGAGCAGCGTGGCTACTAGCGCCTGCAGAGGCAAAGGGTCCGCGTCAGAGGTGCAAGTCAAGCCTTGTCCACAGAGCCCAGAGACGCTCTGCCGCTGGTGTGAGACACGAGGCCTGAGGAACAGTCTCTGTGGCCATGGCCACAGCCCCGAGGCGGGTTGATGAGGGTCCCCACTGTCCCGTCCCCACCCTCCACGCTCTCCAGGTCAGTCGGGAGATGGTCCCAGGCCCTGCTGGCATTGGGTGACCCCGTGAGCATGCTTGGGTCTCACCACTGCCTCGGGGCCCCATCCAGAGCAGGCAGAGGCCCCGGCATGCCAAGGGAAGGCTGCTGGGAGTCCTCCACTGCCTGAAGCAGCCCAGATAAACTGGGCCCAGAGAAGAGCCTGTGCAGCACAGCAGCTCTCCCAGCCAGCCCCTGGCAAAGGCTGTGTTCTTGTGGCCAGCCGTCTGAGCCCAACAACTCCCCCAAGGAGGGCTTTCTCGGGGGTTCTGCCCAGCCAACCCTCCTTCCCCAAAATGCAGGGTCACCTTCTCTGCACTGTTGAGCTCTGCCTTCAGCTGAGCCACCTCCTCCAGCAGAAGGTCCAACTTTCGGGGTTCCTTGAACCACAAAGCAGGCAGATTGCTGCAGGAAGAGAAAAGCCGTTCTTGTCAGAGTGGCCCATCCCATGTGGGGGGCATCTGAGCTCAGCAGAGAGGACAGACACATGTGCTTTCCCTCCTCTGCCCGTGCAAAGGCGGGAGGGAGGTACAGGCACTGGCTGTTAGGAGAATGTGTGCAGGGAGCCCGAGGGCGGCCCATGCTTCTGCACAGACCCAATTCCAGCTCAGGACATGTGTCTTACCGCAGGGTCTCCAGGTGTGCTAGAGACACACGTGTCAGCTCCTGAAAGGGAAGAACACTCCGTTAGAGTATCCACTACCAGAGCTGCCGGGGCTTCCCAGGAGAGGCTTCCCCAGGAAGAGCCGACTAAAGCTGCTGCTTCTTTGGGTCCTCCTGCAGCGAAGAAGGAGAGGCTGTGATTTATCCAGCCACCGTCAGAAAGGCTCCCTTGCAGGAGGTGCCCATCCCACCAGAGTCACTGACCTCCACCAGGCCCTTGGCGTGCATGCTCCACAGTGGCAGCGAGGTCCAGCAGTTACCACCAGCTGCAATTCACATCACAAAGAGACAGTTATTTGCCTGGGGTTGCCAGCCATGCCTGCAGTCACCTTGTCTCCTCCCTGTTGCCTTGGGGCTGGGGCATCTGGTGGGGTAACGTGGGGTGCAGAGAGAGGACGTGCCTCTGACCAGGAGCCATCCCCCCAGGCTTGAGGGGACTGCGCAGCCGTGCTCTTCAGGTGTGCTCAGTGCCCCAGAGCTGCTCCCCATTTCCCCTCGTGGCTTCGGTGAGCACTGAGACCAGGCTGCAAGGGCTAGGAGAGGCACCTCTCCACCAGTCCCCCTGTGCGGCCCCTCTGGGAGCCCCCAGTTCAGGCTTGGAAATACCTACCTACACCCTTCTCTCACTGGCTTGCAGACTGAGCAGGCCATTTGCACTAGTGGCCAAGCAGCAGCATGGCTGGAGACTCCCAGTCTTACTGGTAGTCCAAAAGCAAGTGCCACTCAAGGACATACTCAGGAAGCACTTGGGCCAGGGGACTTTCCACACACGCACTGGCCTGGAAGGAAAGCTGGCCAGCAGAAAGCTGGCACCCAGCATGTTCGCTCACGCAAACTCACCAAGAGCCACTGCGAGGAACAGGAAGGCAGCTTGCAAGAACCTCTTCTTCTGCGAGGCCATCTTCTGCCTGAAAAAGAGGGAATCCTGTGTCTGTCAGTGAGCCAAGCCTTGAGCAAACTCCATAACAGGTGGATTTGCATTTTCAGGCTGAAAAGCCTCTGTTTTGGAAGCCTGCTGCTGACAGAGAGCTGACAGAGCAGCGCCCAGGAGGAACGTGGTTTCCATGCGCACTGACACAGCCAGCAGCTCCCGCACCAAAGTCTGGGCCTCTGGCAAACGTGTGGGAGCAAAGCTGCCATGGGGCTTGGCTCGAGCTTTGATGCCCAAGTGGGAGCCCCGGGCTGCTGGCTGGGGAACACCCCCTGCTCTCCCTGTGGCTTGCACTGGCCCTCAGACATCCCCTTTCTCCCCCCATCCACAGCAGAATCATGTGGTACGTACGCGGCAAAGATGAACATGCTCAGAAGTCTCCCCAGGGAGACGAGGGCACCTGGCAGACGGCAGGCAAGACCGAAGACCATCCCTGGGCAAAGAAATCAGAGAAAAGTCAGGCCTGTCTCTAGAGGTCTCTTCTCAAGCATCCCCAGCCACGCATGTTTTGGCTCCCTGCAGGGAGGCGGGCACAGAGTCCTACGCACTCCCTCCCTGGGGCAAAGAGCAGGGCAGCCCCCACTTCTCCTGCCGCTTGGGACATTTGACCAGAGCTCAGGCACAGCGCGGCTCTCTGAGTTCACCCCCCAGGACATCCCTCAAGCAGCAGCGCTGAGCTTACTTGCAACTTCCATGGCCTTGCTACACTCTGCAGGCTCTCGAGCGTCTGTCACCAGCTTCACCTCCACGCAGAGGTTCCTATGGGAAAAAAAAGGTGCCGATTGCCAAGTGTCCCCGCGCTGTGTGAGTCTGCCAGAGGTCGGCCTCAGGAAGCCTCCCAGGGGCCACCCCCACTTCATCGAGAGAGGGCAGCACAGCTGGGCTGCTTCCAGGGGTCCCCCCTCTCCCCTCCCCATCCTTTGCTCTACAGGCCTGCGGTGGGAGAAGAGGCAGCAGGCTGGCAGCAGCCCCCCGCTGTGGGAAGTCCACTGGCAGCAGAGCCCAATTCTCGCATCATCCCTCCCTGCTCTCTGGCCCCTGGCACCAACCTGCCCCTCGGCAGGCACCTCTCTGTGGCTGTTTGCAGAGGGGGCACCGGCTGCTGTCCCCCACCGGGACTCCCCACCACTTCCCTGGTCACTGGCAGTCCTCCCACCCCTCTCCTCCCCACAGAGCTGCCCCCTCAGCCAGGCAGGACTGTGCCTCAGCACCCCGAGGGGGCCAGTCTCTGGCCCCGGGGGCTCGGTCTCCCCGTGCAGAGACCCCTCCCCGTGCGGCAGCACCAGGTCCTCGACAGCCCCCGCTGCACGCCGGCTCTTGGCCTGGAGACCCGGCCAGGCTCTCAGCCCACCCCCCACAGAAGGGGCTTCGCAGGCCACGGGCTCTTCTTCAGAGCCCCCTGGCGCTTCCCCACACTGCTCCGTGCTCCAGCGCCCGTGTTGGGCTGCGTCCCTACTGCCCCCCTGACCCGACGCCTGGGGCAGCAGCAGCCCACTTCTTACCCGCTGCTCCTTGACGCCTCCCCCGTGGGCTGCGGATTAGCCTTGTTCCCCAAGGAGCCTTTGGAGGCCCCTTGGCATCTTCTCTGGGGTGCCTTCCTCCTTGCCATCTCTGGGCAAAGTAGTTCCCCGCTCCGCTTGTCCGCTCAGCCCCAGCAGCGTGACCTGCTCGGGGCAGCAGCCTCACGGCATCTGTGGGCTCCTGCCCGCACACCACGGTGCTTGGTGGGCACCAGCTGTGACGTCACAGTGGCAGCTCTGACCTCACAATGGGGCTCCTGAGGGCTGAGCAGGGCATGGAGACCCTGTGGACTTCCCCGGACAACATGGCTGCTGCCTGCCCAGGCACAAAACGGCCCCCAAGAGAGACGACTGAGATCTAGAATGGGGAAGTTCTTGTACAGTTTTTTATGCTACATAGTTATGATATATGGAAGTGAAGGGGACTTGCTACAAGCATACTTGAAATTACAAGATCTCCTGTCCTTGCTAATGTATAGGGACCAGTAAAGTAGGACATTCAGTTTTAATGTTAACCATCACTTGTGTTTTACTAGCTTGTATTTTTCCTGTGTTTTACTGCAACGCATATCATTTTGTTTATACTCTTTTCCTAATTACCTCATTACTCACTGGTAAGATGTTTTGAAACCTGTAACTCCTTGCCTAGTGGAGATATGACAGGCCTTGGACAGTTTGAAAAACTCCCTGAGTACATCCCTGACAACAGTGGCCTAAAAACAAGCACCTGAGAAGACGCCAGTATCAAGAAAAACGACTGGAAGATGGTTTAAACCAACCCCCTTGGAACAAAGAGGAGCCGAAGGATGGGTGAGGTCACTCCATGACCATGGATGGACACGGGAAGCCTAAAGTTCAGCTGACAGACAGTGTGAGGAAGACAATGTGGAACACCAAGGCGGGGAGAAGACCCTCACTCTATTTTCACTATGCATGCTCAGACGATGTAGATGAACTCTGAGAACCTATTAGCATAAGACTGCCTTTTCCAGGAAATCTGATGCATATGTATGCTTTTTGTGGATATTAGTCAGAGAGTTTTGTTAGTAAGAATGGCACTCGTGGTGGAGCGATCCCCAGTGCTGCCCAGCGCTGCGACTGAAGAATCTCTGCTGAACAGTTGTCACGTCCCGCTCCAGTGAGGGGGACAAGTGACTCAGATTCGCAAATCCCCAATTGGAGCGGACAACAAGTCTCCAAGTTCAAGCATTTATTAACTACCTACAATGCACTAATTGAACACATGATAATTGGCTAAGTACAGAGCAAGCTATGGCAAGCAATATAATATGCTTTACATTTCTTAACAGAAAAAAGGAAAAGAGGGAGATAGAGGGAATGGGGGAGTACAGATCACCGGTCCGGGTTTCTGCGCTGCTCCTGCCGGCGAGGATTCCAGGAGGCAGCTATCTTCTTCGCTGGCATCCGTCGTCTTTGCTTCACTGCTCTCTCCAGACGGCCGGGGAGGGGGGGGGGCAGGAAGAGGGGCAGAGAGAGAGAGAGAG